CCGCTCTTTCTGGTCTGAAATCACTGGGCCCTGTCCAACGCGCTCGTTTTGTCTTTACTTCTGCAGGTACAGTATATGGAGCTCATGGGAGACGAGGGAGGCAGACTTACACCAGATACCAAACGCTAGAGTTAGAGAAGGAGTTTCATTTTAACAGATACTTAACCCGAAGACGACGTATTGAGATTGCAAACGCTCTCTGCCTTACTGAACGCCAGATTAAAATATGGTTTCAAAACAGGCGGATGAAATGGAAAAAGGAAAACAAATTCATAAATTCCACACAGCCCAGCAGCGAAGAAACAGAGGAAAAGTCAGGGGAGTAGAACCACTTTTAATAAACACTTCCAGGCCTTTCCTTAGCGCTCACTATCGCTATTATTATTTGTGTTCCTTCTGCTACTAAAATCCCGTAGGTTTCTCACAGTCTACTAATTCCCAAAAGGCTTGGTTAAAAGACCTACGTTTGCAACCATCTGTGACTTTAATATATGTGGAAGCCCTAACTTTCGAGCTACGGGCGCGTATGTATATAACCACCTTTCCAAAGCGTAGATGGCGTTGCTTAAAGTGTTAGAGTAATGGCCCAGATTATTAAATATTTGAGGTGAGCACCTGTGTGTGGGTGAGTGTCCCAGGCGTGCCTGTGAGAGAAAAGTGAGTGATTTTTTTTTTTTCAATCTAGGAATGTTCGTATTGTAGAAGTACGAGAGATTTTAGAAAATCTTGGGATTATGTTTTTGCTAACTCCCGCTACCCCGGGCCGTCTTGTTATGCTGTGTTTGGGAGCTTATGGTCTGCAGGGGAGGGGAAAAAAAAAAGTTTTACGCATGTATAAGATATTTAATTAGCAAAAAGAAGAAAAATCCTTTTTAAAAATCGTTGTATAAAACCCTGGGTATAAACTTGCAGTTAAAGCGAAGATGAATTGCAGGGAGATTTTTTCAAATGCCCCTAAACTGCCTAATCTGCACTACTATTATTAAAGTAAAAACTCGGCGTTAAACTTCAGGCGAAGCGAGGGAAAAGGTTTCGAAGCGGGCGAATTTCTGTCGTTCGCGTTGAGCTTACGCTGAGGTTTTGGTGAGCTCAGCCCTACACTGAAGGCGCTTTGAATTATGGACTACTTTTCTGGGGCTTCGTGGGCTTGGGTCGGTCTTTTTTTCTTACATTTTCTTTTTTTTTTCCTTTTTTATTTTGTTTTATTGAAAGTGTCTGTCGTATGAACTCGGGGATATACTTCCCCACTTTTGTGGTGTTTTAATTCACTTTCGCCTTTCTTAGCACTGGAACAAATAAATATATATTCTAAGGAAAAGTAGCTGCCATAAAATGATTCTACTTCGAGTTCTCTATAAGTAAAATAAGCGCAGCGAAAATACGGATTAATATATACGTTATAGCTCTCTATATTCTGTTGTGCGTGCGTGAGTGTGCGTGTGAAGCTGCGTACAAACGCGCTTGTACGCGCGTCAAGGCTCTTTTGTTTGGGAGGCAGCGCATTTTGGGCTGCCGCTCTAAACATCTTAAAAGCCAAATCTGGAAAATACTAATGCAAAATGGCTACCGATGCGTTTATAGGGTGGCGGGGGGTTTTTTTTGTTGGTGGTGGTTGTTGTGGTTTTTTTTTTCTTTCTTTCCCCCTTCCCCCGAGAGGTGGAAAATTAGCGGCGGCCGCAAACCCGCCTGGAATTTAACCCCTCTGTTGGGAAAAACGCTGCACGATATTTATCTTCCGTAGGTACCTGCCGCTTCACC